CCCCGCGCCCTCCCAGCCCCTGGGTAAACCGAGGCGCTTCCCTTGCGCAATTGGAACTCGCGGCGGCCGCAGTGCGGGAGCCCTACCCACTCCCGGTCAGCGATTCCCTAACCTGGGAGAGGTTGGTATTGGCCCCTGCGCGCTGCGAGCACTTTTTGTAAGTCAAGAACACAGGGGGCTTTCTGGGGGATCTCTGCTTGTGTCTGGAAGGGGAATGCCCCCCCCCCATGACCACTAGGAAGCTACACCCCTAAACAGAAGAGCAGTCAAGACTAGAATTCAGAACCACTAGTCCTGGCTACCAGGATTGAGTTGCTGTGTGATCTTGGCCCAGTCTTGTCCTGTCAAGGCCACTATTCTAAATTCCAAATGGTGGTGGAAGGTGCTGACTAAATAATTCCAAGGATCCCTGGAATCTCTAAACAGGGACATAAAAAAATGAGACTTAAGGTCTGGGGCTGTAGCTCAGTGGCAGAGCGCCTGCTTTGCACGTGTGAAGCACTGGGTTTGATCCTCAGCACCATATAAAAATAAATAAGTAAGATATTATGTCTATCTACAACTAAAAAAATATTTAAAAAAAGAATGATACCTAAATGTTGAAATGTATGCTTGAATACTGTCACATGTGAGGCATTGTTTTTATGTACAGAGTGTTTTATAAATTTCAAAAAACAGACTCTGCCAACACCCGAAACAACAGAAATTCAAGAAATGGATGAAAACTGATGTTTGAGTCAGCTCATTGGGATCAAAATGACAATAGCTGACGCTCACGGAGTGCCTAGGTTGTGTCTGGCCCTGTGCTTTCAGTTTAATCCTCATGCTCCTGAGGAGCTGCTTCCTGGTGGACAAACAGGGTTTCCCTTGAGATCAAACAGGCAAAGAGTTGGGACTGGGATTTGGAGAATGTCTAGCCTAACACCTGAGCCTGCAAGCCTGAGGACCTGCCACACCGCCCAGCCCCAGCCGGGAAATCTGCCTCCCACTTCCTCTATCCTCACCCCAAGCTTCCTATACTGCTCTGGAACTTTTTTTTTAAAAAAATATTTATTTTTTAATTGTAGTTGGACACAATACCTTTATTTTATTTATTGATCTTTATGTGGTGTGGAGGATCAAACCCAGGGCCTCGTATGTGCTAGGCGTGTGCTCTACCCCTGAGCCACAACCCCAGCCCCACTACTCTGGAGCTTCTGCCAGCTCCTTTATGTGGATGAATGCCTGTCTAGCTTTTTTTTTTTTTTTTTTTAAACGCATCTTGTTAAAAATTTTCAACCTTTTCTCCCAAGTTCCCTTCTCCTTTTTGGATCTGAAACCTGGCTTCATCTTAGGAACATGCCTCCCTTGCAAGTTTTCTCTCACATGCAGGAATCTGGGCTTCGTGGAAGGTAACTGTCACTTCCCTTGCCCTTGTTATTTTCAGCTGTCCTAAAAAGTAGCTTTGAGTCTGAATTCTTCACATTCCACCCTGTGCAGCCCCAACCCATCACTTATCCTCATTGCCCGAGGATGGGGTGCCTCATCTTCTCTCTCAAGCACTGCATCTGATAAAATACACATCCACTCACATGTGCCTGATCTTGGGGTTTGTTAACCCCATTTCTATCAGTGATCCTATCTGGCACCCCATCTCTGCCAGCTGCTTTTGTGAGCATACCTTACATCTTACCATTACCAGGACCTGAGAGCCCTCTTCCATCTCCACTTCTGACCTCCGTCTGCTCTCTTTCTGCTCACATTCCTTCCTGCCTCCGGTCCCTGAAATCCTCATAGGCTCCTCTCATCAGTTGCTCCTCCTGCTTTTTCCTTGTTCCTCACATGCCTGATATCCTCACTTTCTTACAACCTAAACTCCATGAGTGGCCACAGTCATCCCAAAGACTCATCCTCAGTGGTTTTGCTCTTTGCTCCATTGTCATACCTGTCTACTCCACCAGAGCAGATCGGGCAGCCTGGCCCATGCATCTTTCCACTTGGCTGCAGAGTTGTTTCTTTGGAAATGCACAGCCTCTAGCAGCGTGCTTAGCTTTTTCTGCCATCAGAATACTTACCCTACCTCATTCAATTTCTTGCCCTTCAGACTCTGCTGATATATTCTCCTGTCTCCCTAAACCCTACCCCCCTGCATCCTAACGCCTGAGTGGAGATCATGCACTATGTTTCTCTGAAAGAAAATTAAAGCAAAGTGAAAAAAGCTTCTATTCCCTCTCTCCCACTACTACACCCCCACCGTCCTTCCGCCTGGGCAAGTGAATAAGTTGGTGGCACTGGTAGCTGGAGTCAGCTCAGCACCTGAAGCACTCCATTGCCCTCCTCAAGGGTATTACTATCAAATGCCTCTCTCCTAGGTCATCAGATTTTTTCTCTTCTAGGTCACTTCTATGTTTTCAGCAAAACTCAACATTTTGAGTTTCTGTAGCTACTGTCTTCACTTTCTCCCTCCCTCTTGCTTCATCCTAGGCAGAGAAAATGTAATTTCTTCATGTGGAGTTGATCTGATTTCCTCTCAGCTCCTGGGCAGCACGAGAAAATGAATGATGTAGCCTGAGCAAAGCATAATCCAGTTTGATTAGTGATACAGACCCTCTAGATAAGTAGTCAGTCCTCAAATAAGGTCATTCCCTAAGGTGAACCCAGTGTAATGGGAGGGAGGCCCAGTGCGCTTAAAGGTCTTCGGCTGGCTATTCAAAGGGAGGGGCACCTAACTTTGTGCTGGTTCCTGGGGCGCCCAGGCTGGCATTTGCTCAACTCCAGTTCCACATTTTCTTCTTGCCTGGCCACCAACTTTCTGCTAGCCGAGGTCTGTGGCTCATGAACGGGCTTCGACTCAAGGGAACACTTGGCCCTCACAGGCTGCAAATCCCTGAGGCTCTTTCTTGCCTTCTATTCTGCTCCCTGGTTTAACGGGCTACCCCAACCTCTGCTGAAGGCTCTTTACTCCTTTCCCCAGCCATCAGGGAGGCTCCAAGGTGGGCTGATTGGGTCTCAAGGCAGCATCCATGCCAGCAGTACCCTGTCCCTTTCTGACTATACCATATCACACACCCTCCCTTCATACACTCCTTTTCTTGATTTTATTTTCTCTCTGTTACTTACAACCACCCGACACACTATTTAATTTACTTAGCCCTTTGTTCATTATCCACCTCTCTCCATCTTTCAACAACATCATGTGTGCCAGAAATCAGGGCTTTAATCTGTTTTGTTTATTGCTCTTTCCCTGGTGCCTGGATCCGTACCTGGCACAAAGCGAGAGTCTTAATAAATATTTGCCATCTCTGGAAATGAAAAGCTTCTGCAGAGCCAGGGAGCATTATTTCTTCACAATTCTCAGTGCTAGAATACTGCTATGGTGTCTGCGGGTGCTCAGCTGCAGTTCCTTGATAACCTAGTTCAAGATAGAGCACTGATATGCAATAACAAGATGAGAGAGCCCACAGATTGGGAGAAACTCTTTACCACACGCACCTCAGATAGAGCACTGATTTCCAGGATATATAAAGAACTCAGAAAACCTAACACCAAAACAAAAACAAACAAACAACAACAACAACAACAGAAAATAATCAATAAGGGGCTAAGGAACTGAGCAGACATTTCACAGAATAAGAAATACAATCGATCAACAAACACACACACAAAATGTTCATCATCTTTTTGAGTTTCTGTAACAATTAGATAAATGCAAATCACTCCAGTCAGAATGGCAAATATCAAGAATGCAAGCAATAATAAGTGTTGGCAAGGATGTGGGGGAAAAAAGTACACTCATACACTGCTGGTGGGACTGCAAATTGGTGCGACCACTATGGAAAGCAGTATGTAGGTACCCCAGAAAACTTGGAATGGAACCACCATTTGACCCAGCTGTCCCACTCCTCTGTTTATACCAAAGGACTTAAAATCAACATACTATAGTGACGCAGCCACATCAATGTTTATAGGAGCTCAAGTCACGATAGCTAAACTGTGTAATCAACTAGATGCCCTTCAAGATGAATGGATAAAGAAAATGTGGTATACTTACACAGTGGAATATTATTCAGCCTTAAAGAAGAATGAAATCATAGCATTTGCAGGTAAATGGATGGAGTTAAAGAATGTCATGCTAAGTGAAATAGGCCAATCCCCCAAAACCAAAAGCCGAATGTTTTCTCTGATAAGTGGATGCTGACCCATAGTGGGGTGAGTGGTAGGGAGGAATGAAGGAACTCTGGTTTGTGTAGAGGGGAGGGGTGGGACAGTGGGGATGGGAAGGGTAGTAGAGACAGACATATTACCCTATATACTATATAATTACTCTAGTGGATGATTCTGCACCTTGTACAACCAGAGGAATGAGAAGTTGTGCTCCATTTGTGTATAATATATCAAAATGCACTCTACTCTCACGTACAACTAATGAGAATGACCACCACCAAAAAGAGCACTGATTTGGAGAGAAGGACCCAGAGCAGGCCTTTCTGACCACATTGCTTTGGTGAGGTTCAAGCATGACTTGGCCCCTAGGGTAGCTGAGCCCTTGTGATAATGGCTTGGCATTCCATGTTCTAGGAAGAAAGGGGGCCAGGGATCTGAGAACTGACTAAATCTGGTTTCTACTT